GGCAGGAATATCAACTAAATCTGAGAAAAATGTCAGAGGGCTGGAAGTAATAAAAAAAGGACTTTCAAATTAGTTAATAAGGGTAGAGAATTAATGCTCAACATTACTAATCCTCAGGGAAATGCAAATTCAAACCACAATGAGATACCATCCTACCCTTGTCAGAATGGCCATTACAAAGAAGTAAAAAAACGAATAGATGTTGGCGCATGAAAAGGGATCACTTATACACTGTTGGTGGGAATGTGAACTAGCACAACCGCTAGGGAAAACAGTATGGAGATTTCTCAAAGAACTGAAAGTAGATCTACCATTCCATCCAGCAATCCCACTGCTGGGTATCTACCCAATGGCAAAGAAGTCACCATATCAAGAAAAAAAAATCTGCACCCAAATATTTATCTCAGCACAATTCACAATTGCAAAGATGTAAACTCAACCTAAGTGCTCATCAATTCACGAGTAGATAAAGAAAACGGGGTATATATGTACCATGGAGTACTACTCAGTCATAAAAAGGAATGAAATAATATCTTTTGCCGCAATTTGGATGGAACTAGAGACCATTATGCTAGTGAAGTATCTCAGGAATGGAAAAACAAATACCACATATTCTCACTCATAAGTGGGAGCTAAACAGTAGGTACATATGGTCATAAAGTGGTGTCAAGGACATTGGAAACTAAGAAGGAGTGAGGGATAAAAATTTACCTATTGGGGACAATGCACACTATTCTGGTGACAGGTACACTGAAAGCCCCGACTTCAGCATTATACAATTCATAGATGTAACAAAAAACACTTGGACCCCCTAAATCTATTGAAATTTTAAAATATTTTTTTAGAAAAGCATAGAGAACTAAAGATACATATTAGATCCATTTGTTAAATGCCTGGAACATGGAATATGGACAGCACATGAAATGGACCATGAGAATTGATTGGACTGAAGCATAAGGAAAAGAGAGACTGTGAAAAATAAAGCAAAATATATTATTTTCTGCCTAAATGACGGTAAGCAAAATCAGTTTCTTGAAAGCCAAGAGATTTGGCAGAGGTTTTTAGAGCCTATTAAAAAGGCAATTCGTGGGTACGAAATATAAGATGTAAGATGGATATTCAGAGGCGGAAGCCCAGATCCTCTTAGGAGGTGACAGGGAAAGAAACCCCGAGAGGAAGAGATGAACCCAAGGAGCCAAACGGGTGTCCCCCTGGCAGAGCCCGTGCACGAAGGGACTCAGCACTGCATGTCTGGTGAGCACGCAGTCCTGGGGCCCTGGGGTCTGTGTGCCCAGGTGGCAACTCAGAGGAAGGTGCAGGAAGGTAGCAAGAGAAGAAAGGAGTTGCACAGCGACGTTTGCAGATGGAGAAAGCTGACGCCTGCTAGACTCTGTCACATGCCGGGCCGAGGGTGCCATTCAGGGTGGGGACAGGGCTGACTGTCTATTCATTCCAGGGATGATATAGGATGTGTCGAGGGGGGGATGGATGGTGCTTGCACCCTCCCTCAATACCTCTGCTTCGGTACTCTGCAAACGTCCGGTACTAGCCCCGTGCCAGAACTTTCCCCTGCTAGATTGGAAAAGTGAAGCGCAGGCCCAGAGCGGGGACCTCTCCAGCCAGCGTAAACGCAGCGCTCCTCTCTCCCACCCCACAGGCGCCTTTCCCTGGGCCACGAGCACCCTCCATGCGGGTTCTTAATGCCATGCCTCTCGTCTCCCACTGCACCTCCCTCTTCTGAAGGAGCAGGGCCTGTGTCCTGGGTCAGCGGGCACCCAAACCCGGGCCAGTGACTGCACGCTTACATGTTTTATAGCCCCTGCAGATGGTCACTTCACACAGGGCAACGGCTTTGTCTCATTTGTCTTGGCAACCCCAGAACCTAACACAGTGCCTAGCACACAAGACAAGCCCTTTAAATATTAGCTATGTCTTGCACGCACTCCATGCAATCTGTGTCTGTTGAATGAATAAATGAATGGCTGAATGGACAACTATGGACAATTCTCGTGGGTATTACTGGGGATGGCTTCCATGGAACGGGGCTGGGTTCCAGGAGCTGGGGACTTTTGAGACATTGTGGAACAACAAGGAAATTTTACTTGGCCGTTCCTGTAACCACCACGTGGGAATGAAGAGATGATCCACCATGTAGAGCCCTGCTATAGTACCGGCCTGGGAAGGAAGGAAAGGGCAGGAAAAGCTCATGACCACACCAATGTGTGTGTGGAGGGCTGGGGCATCGGTGACGAGCTGGCGGGAGGAAGGGCTCTGCTCAAGAGAAAAAAAAATGAAAGCACAAGAGAGACACTCTGAAGAAAGCATGTTGGAGAAATAGATGGAGTGGAGGACGCAGAGAGAAAAATGGCAGGGCCGAGTAGGAAGGCATGCCAAGGGAAGCCCGGGCCAGATGGTGATGCTCTTGCAGAGATCGGGGAACGGCTGCCAACTCAGAGCCCCGACAGAGCGGGGCGGGTGTGCGCCCTAGCGCAGGGGCCATGCTGCTGTCTATGGGGGTGGGTTGGGGGGGTAGCCCCACAGGAGCCTTGTCTGGCCTGCAGAGCCTAAGCCCTTCTGGATCCAGCTGACCACAACTGGGGGGTAAGGAAGGACCAGCGCAGAGGAAGGGAGGGGAGTGGGCAAGTTCTAGCTCCAGGGGAGGAGTGCCTGGTGTCTAATAAAGGAAGGTGAAGGGACAGCACATCTGGGGCACAGGCTCTTTGGGAAGGCAGAAAAGCCGGAGCTTTGAAATGTGCACATGAGTTAGGGGAAGAAGGAGTCACAGGGGCAAAACCCATTACAGAGAAAAACAGAGTGAAATAGAAGAAGGGGAAACAATGAAAATTGGAGAGTATGGAGTTTATAAGAAATTGATACACGAGATTTGGTGGAAACCATTGCTTTGGCTTTGGGAATAGGAGAACTGTAAATATGGATAATATGTAAATACCATTTATAATCTAAAAAGTCTGGAAGGCTCAAAGGAGAGATAGTCTTTCTACAGGCACTTTGACAAGTATGAAGGAAGATATTTGTGGCCAAGAAGAGAGGACACTGGAAGTGGAGTCTGAAAACCAGGGTTCGAGTGCCAGCCCTGCCTTGCGGAGGGGACAAGTCTCTGGTCCTCTCATTTGCTTCTGTGTCCCCTGCCAGGAAAGCAGTAGTAACTGTTCTTTCCCACGATGGCTCCGAGGGGCTGCCACAACAAAGTGCCATAGACTGAGTGGCTTAAAACAACACAGATTTTCACCTTACGGTGCTGGAGGACAGAGGTCCAAAATCAAGGTGTCAGCAGGTGTCCTTCCTTGCCTCTTCCCACTTCTGTAAAGCTAAGTGTTCTGAGGCTTGTGACAACATCATTCCAAGCTCGGCCTCTGCCTGCATCTGGCCCCGTCCCCTGCCTGTGTGTCTTCTCCTCTCATGAGAGCACCAGTCACTGGATTTAGGGACCACACCAAATCCAAGATGATCTTATCTCTAGATCCTTAACTAATGACATCCGCAAAGACCCTATTTCCAAATAAGGTCACATGCAGAGGTCCCAGGTGAACCTGAATTTTGGGAGGACACTACTCAACACACTACTGCGTCCAAACAGCAATGAAGCCAGAGCACCCAGTGGATTTATGATGTTTCCCACATGCTTCTTGTGTGCCCTGCCACGCACCTCTAATGGCTGCCATTGCCCACAGGGTGACATCCAAGCCCCCGGGCTGGCCCTGCAGGTGTGGCCGCTTTGCCCAGTCTCTGTCCCTGACTTTTTCTCACCCTCCGCATCTCTTCCACGCTATGATCTTAGCCAACTGAGTCCTCCTTGATCCATGCAACCCAGCTGAAACTCCCTCAAGAACTTTCTCAAAGAACCGGAAGGTAAGTTCTTCCTGCCCTAAACACCTACAATGGGAATTATTTTTCCCTTTCACTTGGCAGTTCATCAGCTCTTCAGACCCTCTTCCACCAAGGCCTCATTTACTTCTCATCATTTTATTTGACTTTCTTTATGAATTGAAGCCTTTCTTCCTGCACCAGCTAGAGCCCTGAAGACTTGGAAGTGTCTTTTTCTTCTTCGAAACTCCAGAATCTAGTTCTGCCCGTGGTGCAGTCCAGGTCATCTGTAACTTCTTGCATTATTACTTCCTGTTGCACCAGCTCTGCTCAGCCCCAAATTTCTAATAATCATTCACCTCATGCAATGACTGCCTTTCCTGGTTCCCATGGTCCAAAAAAAAGATGCCTTTCTCCTTTGAGCTTTCGGAGCCTCTAGCATGAGGCTCTAGAACCCCCTTGTTTTGGTCCATCCTGTATCATTCACAAAGATTCACAAAGCTCTTACTCTGCCTGGTTTTGTGCTGGGCCCCAGGGGCTCCAGCGTGTAAGGCTGTCTCATTCTCCCTTTCTGAGGACAAGGAAATTCTCTCATCCTCTTTCTTTTCCTCACGGGGCCTGACACGGTCCTTCAAATGTTGTACCTGTTCAACTGGGAGGTTCCATTCAAATGGCTTTAGCTAAATCTTAATGAACAACCCGACAGCACCCTCTGTACTTGCAGTGGGGAGAACGCAGACAGCTGGGCCTCTGCCTGCAGCATTTGCCACAGTGGTGACTGCCCTGTCCCTCCCAGAGCCTCTGGACAACCGCAGGGACCAGAAGGAAGCGGGAATGTGTTGTTCCAATGGGACTGCAGACAGGGTTGTGAGTTGGGGACGAAGGGACAGTAGTAAGGACCCTTCCGTGCAGTGCATGGTGCTGTGCAGTGAGACAGCCTCAGAAAGCAAACTGCATCTGTCCCTCCAATTCTCCAATAAGGCCCACTGGCCGTTCCTCTTGCTTAGACAGGGGGCAGGATCTACAACCGCCTCCCCTACGTCAAGGAGGACACGGGTGGGTGAATAACCAGCAGCATTGGTTCCAGATGCTTCTCTGGCCTAAGGATCTGACATGCCCATGGACAAACGTAAGATGACTTAGGCAGGGTCTCATGGTGGAAGGGAGTCACTCACCCGCATTGTTTTGCTGCTTGGTGTTTTTGATGTAGGCAGAGAACTTGGAGAAGATGTCGATGCCTGCTGTGTTGGATTCGCGGTGTTTCGCAGCCAGTTTGGGGTACCTGGAGTGGAAGACGCAGTGTTCTGTCAATCAGTGAGACTTGGAGCTCCTTTAATGGGGAGCCTATCTCCATCATGAAAAATACTCCCGTTTCTAGCTGGATCTACAAATCTTTGGGTTTTTTTTTTTTTTTTTTTTTTTTTTTTTATCCCCATCCTATAGGAAGGGTGGGCACTCTTGGCCCCAGCTCATCCAGAGAGGAAGCCAGAGGCCAGGGAGGTGAGAGCTGCCCAGGGCTACATGGTCTGTTGGACAAGAAACCAGAATTCCATTCAGAGGCCCCAAATGTGCCCTCTTGATGCAAACAACAGTGCACCAATGAAAAGGCACTAGTCAAATTCTGACTGAGCTTGCCGTCCTATCAGATAGGGTCTGTGACACTTCCCCCATCCACATTAAAATAACCATCCACTGCCAGGCCTGCCATTTTCATCACAGCTGCAGAGGGCTAATTCTGGGAGCAAGGGAATGCCAGGCACCTTAGCACTGAGGCCTCTAAACCTGTGGTCCCCAATCCCTGGTCTGTGGACTGGTACTGGTGGGTGGCCTGTTTGGGACTAGGCCACAGAGCTCGGCCACCCCCGCCCCAGTCCGTGGAAAAATTGTCTTCCATGAAACTGGTCCCTGGGGCCAAAAAGGTGTGGGGCCACTGCTCTAAGCCATTTCTCCAAAGGAAGAATACCCAGGATCCTCTGCTGAAATGTCCTCCACACACTTATTATTTGTGCACAGTAATAAGATGCAGAAATGACCAGGCTCCATCGGAGGACATGTGTTTTCGATTGTTTTATTTTATTTTATCTGGAGTTAGATTTGCCATGATCCAGCCCCCTCTCTCTCTCTCTCTTGCAGAGCCTTTCCTTTTGAAGCCAGAGGAATCCAAGAGGCAGGCTTGAGACAGAAAGAGGTAAACTTGCTTGTGTGGGAATCCATGGCTTGGACCCACTGGCACCATCAAAATGAGCAGTTCTAATTTAAAAAATATATATTATTTCCCAAACATTTTATGGCCAGGCAGGGGTAGGAGGAGATGGGAGACAGTGGCCTGGTTATCATTATTACTAATGAATGTGTACCTTGTGATCTCTGGGTGGGTAGTGTTTCACTGTGGGCTGTTGGGTTGCTTAATGTTTAAAAAGCAAAATACTTTTGTCGATCTGTTGTAATGTTTTAAATAATTTGAACCAAACAAGCCTTTAAAAACTATTTGTTGTCCCTTTATTTCTTTCCTCCTCACCTGGCCCATTAGCTAGGACCATCCCTCTTGGGGCCACATTAGGTGGATGTTTAATATCAGAGACACTGCCACTGGAAGAGCCTAGCTCTCTGCCAAGAGGCAGATAAGGCAGGCATTATTGTCCTCGTTTTACTGGGAAGGCAATTGGAGACTTGAGAAGTTAAATGGCTGTTTAAGGGCCATGGCTAATAAATAGTGGAGGGACAATGAGAACCTGGTTTCCTGGCCCTGCAGCCGTGCGATCACCCTACTTCTCTAATAACAGTACAAGCTAACTTGCACTGAGCGCTACTCTGTGCACATGTTTTCACCATTCGCTCCTCACGACAATTCTATTGACAATGTTATGAGCCTTGTTTCCCACGTGAGGCAATTGAGACAGAGAGAAGGTGAGCAATTTGGCTGAGGTCAAGTGGCTGGGGGGCAGAGCCAGGATTCTCACCCAGGCAGTTTGAGTTTGGAAGCCCAGCTCTTAAGTTCCACATTCTGTGGCTTCTCAGACTTTGCCATTTGCTCTTAAAGTCCCAGAGCCCTCAAGGCTGAGCAGAGCACTGTGCACCGGCTGTCTCCCTTTACCAGGAGGGGGCGCTCTGCACAGATTCTGCACACACATGTCTTCCGAGTATACTGGCAATAACCAAATCCACCTTCTGTGCCTAGGGGCCACAAACCAAGGTTTCTTGCAAGATACTAGGTAATCTGCCAAGACGTGGAATTTAGTGTCATCTTTCCCTACTTTGCCCTTCTCACATAGAATCTAGCATGCTGTTAGAACTGATAGACTTCAAACATTAATAAAGACCAAGTGCTCTTTGTTTCTCCTTGATAATGTCAACAGGAAAGGGCCTAGAAAATGCGTTTTAGTAGACTATTTGTTTAGGTTTGTCGTCGTTGTTGCTTTCTCCTGTTATCATTTGATCAAATTTTCAGTAACCTGATTATTTCTTCACTATCAGGGTGGGCCAACAGGGACATGCGGAGGTTGCAGTGAGCTATGATGATGCCACTGCACTCTACCTGGGGTGACAGAGTGAGACTGTCTCAGGAAAAAAAAAAAGATGATGACAAAGGACCATGTATTCAGGGGACAATGACACTGTCATCCTATTCCCTAAGCACTCATTGAGACCTTACTGTATAGCATAATGTTCCAATATACGTTTGTTCTTGTGGGAAGTGTATCTCCAAGATGGTTTTTGTTTGTTTGTTTGTTTGTTTTGAGACAGAGTCATGCTGTGTCGCACGGACTAGAGTGTTGTGGCGTCAGCCTAGCTCACAGCAACCTCAAACTCCTGGGCTCAAGCGATCCTCCTGCCTCAGCTTCCCGAGTAGCTGGGACTACAGGCATGCCACCAAGGCTGGCTCACTTTTTCTATTTTTAGTAGAGGCGGGGTATCACTCTTGCTCAGGCTGGTTTCAAACTCCTGACCTCAAGAGATCCTCCCACCTCGGCCTCCCAGAGTGCTAGGGATTATAGGATTACAATCGTGAGCCACCGGGCCTGGCCTCTCCATGATGTTAATCTCACAAATTTCAGCAACTAGACTTGGGGAGGCTACTGTACAGGATGTTAAGTGCACTCATTTTATCTCCATTTTTATACCGTATTTTAAATATGCAAATAAGTGGACTACAAAATACATTCTGTTTCTCTAAAAAGCTAGCAAACAGTATTTCCTTCGTAGAAACATCTTTGAAATAGCATTGTGATGTGGTCTCATGACAAACAAAGAGGTGATAAATTTTGCTAACTCAGCAAACTATGGCCTATGACCCCTGTTTGTATATGGTCCTCAAGCTAACAGTGGTTTTTTTTACATTTAAAATGGTTAAAAAAAAAAAATCCATATAAGGATACTATTTTGTGATGTGTGAAGATAATCTGAAATTCAAATTTCAGTGTTCATAAATAAAAGTTTTATATGAACACAGCCACACCTTTTTGTTTACATATTGGCTATGGCTGCTTTTATCATACAACAGTACAGTTGCGACAGATCGTGTACAGCCCACAAATCCAGAAAATATTTACTCTCTGGCCCTTTACAGATAAAGTTTGCTGATCCCCCATCTAACCGATGAAAGTTTCTCTCCACCCTGTTTTTAAGATATCTATCTTATTTCAAACGTATTTATCTTAGATCTGCACTTAAGCTTCAGTCTGGGAGGTAAAACAAATGGCTTCTCCTCCCAAAATATAATAACAAATTGTCTTTTTGTATGTAGAGATAGTAGTGAAGAAAAAATATATATTGCAGACGGTAAGTGCTCTGACTGGCTTAGCGTCTCAGCTGACTTCCCGCGGACTGGCCACAGGCCACCTTACAAAAGGATGCCATGCAATTAAGCCAACACACATTAAGCGGCTATCAAGGACCACTGAGGAGTGACGGTTGCTGATTCTGGGAGTCTCTCCTGGCAGCTCGAGTGCTGACCTTCCCTTTTCCAAGGAGCTGAAAAGAGGAAAGACTTCTTCTCCCTCCCTTCTCCTTTGTCTCTGTTTCCTCACTTCATTAAACCCTCCCTGGAGAAGGACATTGATGTTTCTGACTTTTCTGATCCTTGATTTTATGCTTGTTTGTCTCATCTCTGCTATTTAAGCAAAAGATCCTTGGAGGCGGAAGGGGTATGGCTTATTCATTAAAAGACATCCCTTAGGATCTGAGGTTTTAAGACATAAGGTCACCAGTTGTCCTTATGGCGACACCTGAGAGACAGCCACACAATAGGTGCTGACCTATTACAACTCTTCGAGCTGCCTTTTAATGAGCTCTTACTTTATGTCGGGCACTAGGCTCAGTAGTATTACCTTCTGCAATAGCCCTGTGCCATCAGCAGTACGGTCCCTGTTTTATAGATGTGAGAATTAACAATCTGAGAGATTTTCAGTAATTTGCCCGTAGCCGAGACTACTCGTTCTCACCAAGACAGCCATATACGTCTTTCATTTCCCAGCCTCCCTCTCACTTGGGTTGGGGTCATGTGACTGGATTCTGGCCAATGGAAGAGAGGGGAAGTGACGTAACCACTCACACCCTGGCCCTGGGAAACACTTTGCATGCTCCTTTTCTCTCTCTTCCCCTGTAGAAGGAGACTAGGAGGCCATGTATTCCACAAACTACCAGATAGAGGAAGGCCATGCTCTCCACTCAGACTTTGCTTGAGTGGGAAATAAATGCATATTCTGTTAAGCCCCTGCGATTCATGGCTGATTCGATCCTGCAGCAGAACACAACTTCATGTGGAGTGGACTCTGCCTCCAGAGCTCGTACCCTCAGCCACCATGCCATCCTGAGAGGGGTCCAGAAGTCCAGAAGCTATTTCTCCTCCTCCCACAGAGTTAAAAAAGCATTCTTGTTTTCGACTATTACAAAATATCTCTCTATATTTTTTAAAAAATGGATTCAAAGCATCTTCCAATTTGGTCAGCGTTCTGAACCCTGTTGATATTTATTTAAATCATTCTTGCTAGTTGACTGACTGAATGACATGCCATGTAACTAGATTGGATCAGTTTACCTTCCTGAATTTTTATCACAGCATCTAAACACTAAGATTATCTGAAACAACGACCAGCTTTGGGAAAGCTTTGAGAAACTCATGGGATCGTAGAACAACTTGTGCTGAAAGGCACCTTGGAGGCTATGTAGTTTCACCTCCTTGTTTTAGAGATGAGAAAAGTGGAGTTGTCAGAGGGGAAGGGAGGCCTGCCCCAGGCCACACGACAGACACTGGTAGAGGTGGCCAGAGTCGGGGCTCCCGACTCTCAGTTTCCAATCCCAGAAACTCTGGCCATTCCACGGGGATGAAAGGCAAGGCCCGGCAAGTCTCTGCAGTGATCCCAGCACTAATCCCACACTTCCTTGTTGAGCGTTAACGGGGGTCGGTCTAAGGAAAGGGGTGGATGTTAGTCTCATTTGGAAACAACTTGAGACTTCCTGGATTCCTCATTTTGACACCGAACGCTCTGTGGGATCAAATTTAATTTTTTAAAAAAATTGTTGGAGTGTTTGTATGTGGTTTTCTCCTTTAAAAAAATAAAGCTAAGGGGGAAAAAAAGGCTCCCACAATGTCTTGGCTCTCCGGCAGCTTTTACAAATAGCGGTGTGATGAGAAACACATGGTAGACAAGCGCCCGGTGAGCGGTCGTGGGGATTTGGACGCCCCCTAGAGAAACGGAAGGCCAGGCTGCCTGCTCCGGGGGCCGCCGAACACAGGCCACTCTGGCCCACAGCCAAGTCCCTGGGGAAGCCAGCTGAGGCTGGTGGCTTGCTGTGGGCTGACCAGCAGGTTTCTCTATGTGGAACCGAGGCACTGGCTTGGTAACACTTACCGGGATATAATCGTGACACCTGCCCCAGTCTGATGGGTACCAAGGCATCTAAGGGACACTTCCGTGGGGCTCCAGATTGGCCAATGGTCTCACCACTAGGGCCCCCACCGCAGCTGCCTTCTGCAGCTGTACATTTTAACAGACTTGGGTTCTGCTACCTGGGAGTGCTGCATCGTCAGGTTACTAACTCGGCAGGAATGCGCTTAGTGAAACCTCCTACACAGGATCCAAGATCTGGACCAGAGGGAGCAGCGCTCAGAACAGGGAACGTGAGCAGAGAGGGAAGAGAGGGGGGCGTGTCTGCATCCAGCACTGCCCACCCGAGTTGGATCATGGAAGCTTTTCAGCACCTGATGGAATGGTGATAAAATCTGATGATGACCGCCTCTGGGAGAATGTGCAAGGACACACGGGACATACAATTCCAGGGGTCTCTGGGCCCCCTTGGTCCTATTGTGGATGCAGATTGGGGACCCCTTTGTTAGAGAAACAGCCCAGGAAAAGCGTAACCAGACTGGGGTTGGGGAGGTGGGGGGAGCCTGGCTAAAGTGGGGAATCGGAGAGCAAGAAGGGCCTGGGGTCATCCTCTCACAGAGGAGAAACTGAGGCTGAGAGCACATCCCCCTCTCCATGCATCCACCTTCCATTCCCTGAGGATCCGGACGGGAGTCCTCCCTCCTGAGCGTGAGAGCCTCACTTCTAAAAGGGAAAATGGTAACTTCGCCACGGACTTTCCCCTCTGGGCCTCCCGGGCAAAGTCCAGACTCTATTTAGTTACTGAAAACAACATTTATTTTTTTTTCACATGGGCTTTCAAACCAGTGCTAGCAATGAGGTGGAGTCCCAGGGGAGAGAGATGGCGTGCGGGCCCCCTCAGGCCATGTCCGGCAAAACGGCTGGCAGGTGTCCTGCTCAGAGATGCGTGTGTGGCTTCTGCCTGTGGCTGAGCTGGGAGTTACACGGGGGGCTGCCCCAATGGTTTAATTAATTCACTTATTTAAAGTCAACACTCAGCTGCTTCCAATGGGCTTGAGGCAGCTCTCCACACTCTCAGTGTGAAAATCAACTGTCCTCATTTGGATGACAAAGAATATTATGGAAGAAGGCATGGTTGTTTAAGCCTTAATCAGAGAATGACTGGCAGTTTTAATTTTTAACAGTAATTCGCTAGATGTGCCACCTTGGACAAGTGACTTAATCTCTCCAAGGCCAACTGTAAACTGGAGATAATGACAGCACCTACCTCCCAGGGCTGTGACAAGGACAAAATGAGTCATGTTGGTTAAGTGCCGTCAGCGGAGCCTGACACAAAGTGAGAGTGATAAAAATGTGGATGGATAAATGACACTTTTTAAAATAACTGCACGATGGTGGGTTTTAGTAGTTAAATCCCACTTATTTTACCGGCTAAGTATGTCCCGAATCCTGCTCACTCCTCTCCTCCCATCTTCCTGCCACCGCCTTGGCTCAGCCTGTCCTTCTGTCCTGCTGGGCTGTCACCAGCTGGCTCCTTGACCACCCCCAGATGTGCTGTCCTCTCACTACTCACCTCACCCAACCCCCAAAGTCAGTCTTAAAACTGACTTTCCAACCCCTTCGTGCAAAACCTGTCAGTGGTCACCCGATGGGACCCCCTACAGGTTGACAGGCTACGGGATAAAGTCTATGCCTTACTCGACGTGTAATATTATTTTCCTAGTTTGTTTAAAAAAACTGTGACTGTTTTAATTCCGGATTACGATGCTCTCTGATGAACGAGCTAGCCTCCGGGAACTTCCAAACCTGTCCCTGTCTCTATTCTTCACTCCTCTTTTCCATCAGTAGAAGCTTATTACCCAACACACAGCCCCCTGGCCTGCCCCCTCCCTGGACCGGCTTTCAGAGGAGGAGGTGAGTTTTTTCATCCATGTGATCGTGGGGTCAGAACAGACCGGGTCAGGTTTATGACCCTTGGCGTTGTTTTAAGTCACTGGGTTGTCCTTTCCTGGCTTATTTTCACTTCATGGGCCTTTCAGCCTTCCTCCTGAAATGAGGGAGCCCTTGCTCTCCCTTGGAGGTTGTCCAGGCAGAGTGACCTGGGCAGACGGGGACAAGCTGGGGTGGGACCTTCCTAGAGCTCCTAAAATTGCTGTGTGTGGGAGGAGTGACCGGCTCTACTTCATAGGCGATACCCACTCTCGGGCGGATTTAGCGGAGTCATTCTGAGCCTGGCGGCCCTTCGGGGGCTCCTACCCTCTCTCTGGGATGAGAAGGCCTGTGCTGTGGACTGACAAGGCCCCTTTGGGAAGGCGCCTTCTCAGAGTTCTCGCTGCGCTTGTGTAGTTCCAGCATGGACCCTTGCTTACTTTTCAGGGGTCAAGGTCTCCTCCAGGAACTCCTCGATCTTATTGACGTCTGTCTTCACGTCCCCATTGAAGGTCAGGAAGGGCGGATGCGTGCCAGGGGCCAGGTTGTGCAGGTCGGCCGGCTTTCTGCAGGGGAGAGCAAGATTCGGGTGTTGGCTTACAACCGGGGCGCTTGCTGTTCTGGGAAACCTAAGACTGATAGGTTGTCAAGTAGACCCCTGTTGCTATCCAACACGCCCGTCAGCAAAGACAGATTGATGGTGCCGGGCGCAGAGCACAGGAGGCTGGAGAAAGTTCTGAAAGAATGCAGAGTGATGCAGGGAAGGCGTCCAGTGAAGTCAGCGAGAGGGGAACAAGTCCAGAGGAAGGAGTTGAGTACTGTTGAAAATGTGGGAAGATTGCAGGTGACTAGCTAAAGTGGCTCTAAGATTTAATTACCCAGGGAGAGGGTGGGCTTTGCTTTGAAAATTGCCTTCACTAACCCCCCTAACAAAAATACACTCTACATAATTCCAAATTTTAAAAACTAATGAATTAGATCACATTTTTATCCTAAAAGATATCTTTAAATACAAAATAATAATAATAATCATGAGAGTTTGGGCCATTTGTTCAAGTTAGAGTACCCCTAGTCTGTATAACTTAAATTTTAATGTCCAATAACTAATGTGCAGCATTGGTCAGTCTTTTGCCAGACTCAACCGAACACTTTTTTGATCTATAAACAGCCTCTGATACAGCCTTCAGGTATCCATGAACATAAGCAAATTATTAGCTTGAAAACAAAACTAGTAAATGAAGACAATATTTTCAAAAGTGTTTTTATGGCTGTTTCTAGCATGACCCTCCATGGGTCCTTGTGCAAACTCATGGATTTATGTCCGACAGACCCAAATTCAATGTTATTGCTCAACAAACACCAGATAGGCTGTTACCAAAAGGATTCTGCATCAGGAACCTAGCATTGCTGGGTAAGAATGTATCTGGGAAAAAGCCTTACAACTCAAGATCCACGAGGAAAGGACCTAGAACTGTACCTGATATATATATATATAAGGCTCTCAATAGATATATATTTTAAGGATTAATGAATAAAACATACATTTTTAATTTAAAAAAAGAGTGTTTTTAGCTGCACAATTAGTAATCAGAAGTTGGTCAGTTGGTAAAAACTTCAATCCAGTTATGAAATCTTTCAGCTTTTAACTGAATGTGGGAGAGCCAGCAGGCAACTGCACTGCTAGAGTGTTGGTGCTCCTCCATGGTCTACCTTCTACAGCGTTTTCACTTTGTAACTTAATTCGAACACACGCTATTATTCTCAAGGTATGACTATTATGGTTCCAGTTTTACTAGAAAGAAGTAATTTTTCTTTAAATATTTTAAAATTCTGTTCAACATACATAAATTGAAAATCTCCTGGGAGTCAGAAATTGTGCATATGTTCTAAAACTATGAGGTCACTTAAGTGTTATAAACAATCTATTTTTCTAAGGAAACATACCTTACATTTTCTAATGGGACTCAAATATAGCACTTGCTTTGTGAAAGTTATTTCTTTCTATAGCAAGCTTTGCTGGATCAATAGAATCTTTGATGTAAAGCACAAGTATGATAAAAAATTCAATCCCTTAAAAGGTAGAAGTCCTCTTGGTATGCCTGTTGGATTCTGGGTCAGGCACTTAAAGAAATCTTAGATAACCAAAGCAACAGTGCATTTTTTACCCCCTGGGAAGAGGAGATCGAAAAGTCCTAAATTATCCACAAAGGAAGGCCTAGATCATGGGGAAAGGGCTGAAATCCTGGAACACAGATCGGATTGAATGAATTAACAATTAATTAATTGAATGACTAATTGCACTTTTTGTATTTGGCCCACGGCAATGCTGAGTGGCGTTCCTGGTGTGTACGGGGAGTATCCTGACTACCTGGGGGAAGGGACTTCCTGCAGGTGCTGCAGGAAGGAAAGGGACTTGTGTTTGACACGGGCCCTGTTAATTAAGGCCCAAGGACGTGCTTCTGTGACTCGGCCACCTGGACAGAATGCAAGAGCAAGAATGGAGCGAAGTGAGGGAAGAAGGCTTGGCAGATTGGGGAAAGTGGGGAGGGAGAAGGTTGCACCAGCAAAGGGTGAGGAACAGGAGGAATGATGATGGAGACAGCCACAGGCAGGGCTAGAGTATCAGATTCACCCCAAATGCTCTCTCTAAGAAGGCGGCATTTCTTGTGGGAGTCGGGAGTGCAAAACATTAGATTTGGAAGAACTGTAAGAAAGTAAACAAACGGGGGTAGAGGAGTCTGTAATGAAACAAATTCCTGGCGTAATCAGTTTGGGAGGGGACGAGAAGAATGTCAATTACTGCGCTACTCCCCTGTCGTGCGCCAAACACACCCGCTCCAGCTGCATTCTGTGGCGCTTGGAACTCAGGCAGTTGAGACGGAAAGAATTTTTAAAATCTAATTTACTCAGTCCCTTTGTTGACTTTGTGTGTGTCCCTCATTTTAGACAATGGAAGGACATTCCTTACTTGTTCCCCTCCGGTTTCTAGAACCCACATAAGGCAGCGACGCTGTGTTCGCAGCTGGAAGGAGAAATCTACACTGATTTCATTGTTCTGCAGTTACCTCTCTGCATCTTAAAGATACAGAAATGTGTGCTAGTGGTGGTGTTTTTTTTTTCCTCTGGCCACTGGAGTCTGACACGTCCGGGAAGTTCAGCCTACGGCCTTGGCAGCTTGGCTGGGACGTGGCCAGTTGCAGCTCTCGCTCCTTGTTCAGGGCTTGTAGTTGGAACTACATCATTAGCACTGGGTTACACATCGCCAGGTCTAATTTACAAATTAATTAATGTGCATCAGTCTTCTTTTTCTGACTAGATTGCCACCTCCAGGAAGGCGAGGATCACGCTAAGAATAGCCGATAAGTATGGAGTCCTTACTATGAGGTGCAACATTGAATGCAAACTTTCCGTGGCCTGCCTCGCTAAGCCCTCACGATAATCCTATTGATTGGGAAGGCACTATGTCCATTGTACAGATGAGGAAATTGAGGCTCTGCAAAGCTCAAGATCACTCAGTCAACAAACACTGGTGCCTGGATAAGTTTTCCTAGAAATTAGTGTGTGTGTGAGTGTGTGTGTGTGTGTGTGTGCATACGTGCAGTAAGAACATTTCCTTATCTACAAAACTGGAGAGGTGATACATGCCTGGCCTACCTCTAAGGGGTGTTGGCAGGACCCAATGTGCTAACATGAAAGAGTGACCTAAGCATGCGGAGAATGCTGGCGTGGCCTCCTTTCCCGTTCTGATCTCCTGCGAACACTCAGGTCCACTCTCACACGTGACGATCCAAAGGCCTTCGATTCTCCACTGAAGGAAGCTGTTCTTTGCAACTGTGTGAAAGTCTCCTGCTCTCTTTTAGCTATCATGGACATCAGCTGCATGGTGGCCTCATGTCCATTCACGTGACAGATACTAGGGTCTGTCAGATTACAGTTGAGAGCCTGTCCAAAGCTAGTTGCTGTGGAGAATGCAGAGAGGAGCTGAAAACATGATCCCAGCCTGTCCTCCAGGGATTGAAGGCCTCATTTGAAAGATGCAAAAAAACTCCATAAGTGATGTTTTATGCAGAGCATAGTATCTGAACCAAGAAGACTGAGTCTGTATGTAGCGGCAGCCCCTCCGATTTCAGGCTGGGCACTTGGTCAAGTCATTTGAGTGCATCTGTCTCCATTTCTTCATGTAACATGGAGAAATAAGATTCAAAGGATTAGATTTGAATCTAATCCTTAGATTCATTAGATTAGATTTGAATCTAATCTAATCCAAAGAAAAAGATTCACAGGATTACATATTACGTGATCTTTATAAAGCACTCGCCAGTTGCAAAGCGTTAGGACTGTAGATAGCATAACTTGGTGAGGTGCTGGTGAGTTTGCAGAGAAGCTGGGCTGGTGGGTGAGAGTGGTAGGAGGCCTGGGGTGGCAAAGGGAGGGGGCTGAGGCTGAGCCTGGGGGCTGGTGCCATCTGCAGGGACAGGAAGCAAGAGAGGGCTGTGTTAGACAGAGGACGCGTCCTAGCCAAGGATTGGAGGCTGCAAGGAACAAGGGCAGCAGGAGGCAGCTCAGCAGGACAGAGGTGGACAGGCCACGCTGAGATGTGTTGAGAGACGGTGTTGGGAAGAACCGGGGAAAAGACAAAAGAGGGATTCACGTGCAGTTATTCCATGGACAGTGAAAACATCGAAGGTTTTCCGATCAGGGGAGTTGCCTGATTAAAGCATTATTTTAGAAAGACAAACCTTAGGATAAAATAAAGGATGGATTGGGGGATGGGGAGGGAGAGAGAGAGAGAGAGAGAACAATGGAAGTGGCAAGAGAAAGAAGCTGGAGACATTTCAGTGCCTAGAAAATGGGACAACAAAGGAATTCATGAGGAAAGCCCCACTCACAGAAAAAACAGTAGGTGCAATTTTAGACACCTAGATTTTAAAGTGACAATAGAACATCTGAGTGGAACCATCTAGATGATAGCAGGGCTCTGGGATTCACAGAAAGAATTCCTTTATGATTCACATAAAGATGACAGGGAGAGTATGCCCAGCTCACCAGGAGGAAGGGTGAGCCTTGGGCTTTTCCACATTTAAAGGACAGGCAGAGGAGGGGAAACAGAACATTCGGTAGGAGTGAGAGAGTGTGGCTCCCAGTACCGAATGATGCAATTTAAAACAAAACGGTAGCAGCTTTCCATCGAGGCCTGTATTCTAGAACCCTCGCACTAAGGACTTCTAAGGATGGGAACGTAGCATGGGAAGCGGGCTCATCTCACCTCCCCCAAGACTCAGACTCACGCGCCTGGAGTCCTGCTAGGGTCCCAGGGATGATGGCACGAGTGCTACTGGAATGACCGACTCCTTTGTCTGTAGGTGTCTGTGCTCACCTCTGAGCCAGACGTCCTCAGCTGCACAGACAAAGCCAGTCCTTCCTTCTTCCTTGCGAATGCAACCTTGTCAGACAGGGCAGTGCAGTGCCGGGCCCCGCGTGAGCTACTGGCTTTTGCAGCCTCCCTTGCAACGAGACGCGGGCCCTGCGACACAGTCCTGGACAAGGAGGTGTGAGCAGGAGCCGCCGTGAGACACGGAAGGCGTCTGCCCTGCTTCACGGAAGGTGCTCCGTCCCTGCAGCTGAACATAGTCCCCGCTGATGCAAGGCCCGTTACCTTTTCAGATCCACAGTGGTGACGTTGAACACGACTCCTTTCAGCCAAAGGATCATGAAGAGGCGCTGAGAGAAAGGACAGTTGCCAATGCTTTCCCCATCGATTCCAGCCTGGAAGGAAGAGAACCAGAGTCCTGAGTCGCCATGGGTGCACTCGCAGGGAAGAACACAGGGTTAAAACACCCACATTCCGGTCTCAGGAGGACTTACCAAAACCAAGCCCCAGCCTAATGCAAAGGGCAGTAGCCCTGTCTCATTCATCTCTGTCTTCCTAACGTCAATGCCAGGCAATGCCTGCCACTGTGCAAGGGCTCCCTAAATACTTGCCGAACTGGGCTTAGTGATTATGTAGGATCATAATTTTATGAAATCGTAGAACCCTGGTATCTAAGGGTAAAAAGAGATCTCCAACATCACATAGTCTAACACAAATGATCCTGGAACACCAACATCTATGCCCCCGAATAATCATCTAGCCTATGTTTGAATATCTCCACCGACCAGTAATTTAAATCTCTCAAAGCAGTCCATTCTGAGGATTGCTCTAGCAATTAGAAATGATTTCCTTTAGCTATACTCAGCTAAAACATGTTCCTCTATAGTTTATCCTCTTGTACTCCCTGGTCCTTGCTCCATGAGGATGTCACAAAACAGATATGTCAGACTTTGATCCCATCTCCCTGTGTCTAGATTAGTCAGAAGGCCCAAGACTTTAATCAATATACCACTCAGCTCTGACTAGTACCTGGCCTTCAGCGTCAATAAGCCATTCATTTGTTAAATTATCCTTTTACCCAGCAAATCCGTATTGACTATCAATTACATGCAGGTCACTGGAGAAAATTACCCAGGAGATTCAAAAATGCATGTCCCCAAGGAGCTTATGGCCTTCTGTCCTGTGGGCCAGGGGACAAGACTGGAGCACCTGTGACAGCAGTAGCATTACTGAGTGCTCGCACACTCCCTTCCTCAAAACGATGGGCTTTTATAAGACTGAAAGACAAATCTATCCTCACTGCACTTTTGAGTGGGCTGCAGATCCATGAATTTCATATAGAATTTATTTTAAGCAAACACGTGAACAAGCAAAAAAGGTTGGGGCACTAGTCTCTGTATATTCATTTCTATTGAGCAGTTTATTGCCCCCCAACATGGACTTAGAGGCAGAAACCACTTGCTCTAGTGTCATCTGATGTTGGCTCCCCTAGAAACCGTGGCCCCCTTAGGTGGCCTGGCAGGGGACTCCACTGTCAGGGAGGGCACAGGTAATGAAGACCCCCCAGGCTTACTTGCAAAGCTTCAAACAATCTAACCAACATCCAGGAATGGGGGTTTACTAAAAGGGAGGTTTTTTTTAAAAAGAAAGGGAGGACAAAAATGCTTTCCTGAAGTTCAGCATATTATTTTCCCCCTTGGGGTTTGTTCTGCTGTGGCATTCAGATGGGGGAGGCAGCGATGCCTTCTTTCATACATTAGGGCCTAATTGTGTGCTTATTTCTACTCTGCAAATCGCTCCCAGCAGAGGCTCAGGTTTATAATGGAAAACTGGAGCCTTTGACAGTGTTGGCTGTATGTAATTGCTATGAAATTACAGTTATTTTACCTCCCTCTTAACTGCACCAAGAACTCCACTCCCTATTCAATACTCACTTTTCTCCAGGGCTGGAACAGACTCACCCCTGAGCCACTGAGATAGCATGTGTTCCGTTATAGAAACTGGCACAGGTGGGAGGGCCCAGCGTGGGTGCCATACCTGCCCACAGAGCTGAATTACTGATAAAGCACTATCAGACAGGCAACCATTAATTTAATGACAGCTTGACGCTAGCTGGAGTTTATAATGGCAGTTCCCTAAGAACCTATCAAGAAGCACTTGACAGGCACCAGGTTCTTGGTCCTTTAAGACATCCTGATGACACAGGACAATTTCCTCCAGGGCCAGTTACAATGTAAGTGACAAGTGTAGAATTTGAAAAAGCAAAAGCCAGATCCACACACTGTTATCTGTTTTCCTCTGGTGGTCATGGTGGTGGGAGAAGAAGGGAATTAAAGGATGAACTAGTAAAATATTGGAATTCTTATTAGCTGGACAAAAAAATTCATATAATAATAATGTTAATAATAACAAATTGTCTATATTGTCAGGTATTGTTATAAACAATTTATATGCATTATCAATTCATTTATTCTTCCTGAAAAGCTTGCAAAGTGGGATACTATCAGCCCTTACAGAATGAGGAAATTGAGGCACAGATAGGTGACATAATTGGCTTAAGGGACCCACCACGGTGAAGCCAGGATTGAACCCAGGTGGTTTTGGATCAAGACGTAGCATTCTGAGACACCCTGCTGGAACCCAACCTGATGGCCCAGCCAGGTCACATGTTGTCCCCAGGTGCTGGGAGGTGATGATGTTGAACGGTACAGACATCCTGTCCTCGAGGCCATGTGCAGTCAGCTATGCCAGAAGTGTAGGATGCAATGTCCTTCATCACGCCATGGATTCTAATTATGTCTTATTAATAGTGTCTTACATTGTGATCCTAGGCCTAGTAAACAAAAGTCGCCCAAGGCCAACAGAAACATGTGAGGATCTTGCCGTCCACCTCCACTGTCCAGGTGTCCCTGTTTTGGATTCCTCTCTTCCCCTTCACAACCCCACAGCCCCGTGGCCCTGGGAAACTGTCTGTTAAACTCATGGCTTAAATGTAGTGAGCTTTGGAAACCACTTGAAACATCAACAGAGAAGGGCCAGGTGAAAAATATAAGGAAAAACCCAGATGGACTTTGGTCCAAAGAGATCCTGAGCACTGAGGGTTGAGGACAGGTACAAAAGTAGTGTACTAGGTTGAATCCTCTTCCCCAAAATTTATGTCCACCTACGAAAGGGACTTTATTTGGAAATAGGGTCTTTGCAGACATAATCAAGTTTAAGATGAGGTCCTATGGGATCAGAGTGGACTCTAAATGTGCCTGGTGTCCTTATAAGAAGAGAGACCCTTGGGCACAGACGTGCAGAGGAGAAGGGCATGTGAAGACAGAGGCAGATATTGCAGCCATGTGTCCACCAGCCCAGGAACACCAGGGCTTGGTGGCAGTCACCAGAAGCTAGAGTCAAGGGAGGGCTCTTCCCTGGAGAGAGAGAGCTTGGCCCTGTTGACACCTTGATTTTGAATTTCCAGCCACCAGAACTGTGAGAGAGGAGATTTCTGTTATAAGCTACACCACTTACAGTAATTTGTTACAGCAACTCTAGGAAGTGTCAAAAGGACAATGGCATACAGCTAATGGCAAACTTCCCAAGTTCGTGATTCTGCTTTGCACACCACTGCCAGCTAAACCCCCAAGTACTGCCTGTTCCCTAGGTATAGTGTATACAACTTATTATAAAATATTACACCATATATAATATTGTTAATACATATGATAATATCAGTAGTAGCATAATGTAATTATATTTGTTGTATGATTATACAGTTATTTGTTATATGCTGGATAATTCCTATTACAGGCTATTATATATCATCTTTCATATGATCTCTTCCTCTGTATGGTAAGCTTGGCTCCCCACAAAACACAGGCCATGTTTCATTTACTTTGCCTTTAACAGCAACGAGCACAAGTGCCTGAAACTTAGTTGATACTCAATGCTTGTTTAAATGGATGCGTGTTGAGGGGAAGGAGCTGTCCCTCCCTTTTTATAGCTTGAGAATGTCAAAATTCTCTCATTGGCACTGTAAAGAGCATCCTAAAAACAAACAAACAAACAAACTTGAGTTTTGAAGCACACTACAGCAGGAGACTGTAGTTCTAGATTCATCTCTGTCCCTAATTCGCCATGTGAATGACCTTGGGTAACTCAACCCCTCTTGGGCTCAACCATTGAACCTACAACTTCCTGCAATTTTGTGTATCAAGTGACTAGTGGAGATTTGTTTAAGACTGTGGTTCCCAAACTTTTCAGTCTCAGAACCCATTTTATGCTTTTAAAAATTGTTAAGGATCTACCCCCCAAATTTATGTGGGTTATAGCTACTGATATTACTATAAGTTCATGCTGAAAATGTTTTAAATATTTATTTACTCATTCATTCATCTAAATATTATAATAAACATGTCACATGTTAACATACATGACATCTTAATATAAAAGAACTGTATTTTCTGAAAACAAAAGAAATTTAGTGAGAAGAGTGGCATTTGTCTTCTGTTTTCACAATATCTTTAATGTCTGACTTAATTTGATTGAGGGATATTATGAAAACCTGGCTTCACACAGACATGTCGTTGGACAAAGGAGGAGTATTTTAGTAGCCTTTTCAGATAGTCGTGGGTATTCTTCTTTAATACCATGCCGAAACTCAACAATGGTAGTTTCTTTTTTATTATTATTTTTTTAATTATTTCAGCATATTATGGGGGTACAAATGTTAAGATTACATATATTGCCCATACCCCCCTCGAGTCAGAGCTTCAGGCATGACCATTCCCCAAACGTTGCACATCTCACTCATTGTGTTTGTATATACCCATCCCCTCCTCCCTCCTTCCACCTGCCCGACACCCGATAAATATTATTCCTATATGTCCACTTAGGTGCTGATCTGTTAATACCAATTTGCTGGTGAGTACATGTGGTGCTTGTTTTTCCATTCTTGAGATACTTCACTTAGTACTTAATGGTAGATACATGGAACTTGAAAGCATAGCAATGAAATTTTTCCTGTTCTACCAAAACCCACTCACCTAACTTGCACTTTAATTGGGTCTTTTACCCATGCATGATTTTGTAACATGTGAGTTTGTCATTTGGAAAAAAGTGTTTCACTGCCTTATGCAGACCTTCCAAATGATACCCATTTCATTATAGAATATAAAAATATATCATTCATTAATATCACCACTAATCTCATCCAAAAAGTTTATGGATAAGAAAGCTGCCAACCTCGTATCAAGCGCAAGCTGCCATACAGACATGTTTTTCAAAATTCGAATTTTCTCTGGAGAGCTTTCATTTTATCAGTTGCAATAAACATTATCAGTTGCTATGCTTGAAATGACAAGCTCATTTTATTGATTCTCCAGAAAATGTCTGGCAAATACTAAGTCTG